GAAATTGTTCCCCTTTTCATCTTTGCTGTTTCCAACAAAGATTCCAACATAAATTTGGGGTTTAACAGGCATAGGTTTTTTTAGTATTTATCTCATACTCACTCACTGCCTTCCACTGGAAAAAGGCAGTCTTTGTAGCTTACTGCTCATGCTGCCAGATTCTTTATAAGCTGCAAGACTGACCCCAGCTAAGTACTGAAAATACGTTCTACAAAACACAGACTCTACCTTCAAGGAGGTTACACAAAATATTTTTAGTCTGTATTTTGTGCTTGAAAATAATTACTAAAACATGTCCAATTTACTTAATGTCTAAATGTTCACTTAACACCAGAGTTTAGTTTCATTTCAGCATGTTACAAAAATTGTTTAAGCTGGGCATGGTGGCACACGCCTGTAGTCGCAGCACTTCGGAGGCTGAGGCAGGAGGATTGCCACAAGCTTGAGGCTGTCCCGGGCTACATAGTGAGTTCAAGACCAGCCTGAACTGCATAGTGAGACCCTGTTTCAAAAAAACCCCCCAAAAACAAACAAAAAAGCCTCTAACCCCCCCAAAAAAACAACCAAAAAAGTTAAATTATTCCATCTGAAACTAATATAAATCTTATAATTGTGTGTTAATTCAGCAAATGGGCACTGAGCACCTGCTCTGCACCAGGCAGACCAGCGAAGCAGCAGGGACCGAGACACCTCCTGCCTCTTTCCCAGGGAGCGCATGACAGTGCCTGAGGCTGGGGACACAGGGACACTTCGCTGTCCCGGCAGCCAGGGTTCCGCAGTGCCAATGGCCTTTCCATATGCAATGGGGGGTCACTATGTCATTCTCATTAGAAGAGGAACGGAGCTATGGCTACCTGCTCACCGAAGAGGACGGCCACACAGAATTCATGGTAAGAAGCCAAAATAAACCTGTCCTTAAAAACAAGATGAACGGTCAGAGATGAAAGAGCAGGGTTTAAATAGAGGGATGACCAGGCAGCTTAGAGAAGGAGATAAGAGGAACAGAAGGCAGAGCGAGAGTCAGGTACTTATTTTTGGCCTCATCTGTCATACCAGTTTGTCATATCTGGGAAGCACAGACAGTTTTAAAGAGGCTTAACAAGAAGCCGGGGTAGGAGGAGCAGAATAAAGAATGAGGTGGCTTCCAGAGAAGTGAAGTCAAGAAGGAAAGCTGGAAATGACACTGGAGGGAGGTGGAGGTGCTGCCGAGATTTCAAAATTAACGCTCAACTAGGAGTCAACAGATACTTCCTGATGGTGTGAGCACCCTGCTGAGTCAAGAGCAAGTTAACTGTGAGCCTGGGTTTCTTTGCCGTCTCAGCTGCACCGCACTAACCTACGCCTTTTAAATTTCATTACCGTCCAGCCACAATCTACTGGTGACAAATGGTTCCCAACATAAGAAACAACCTAGCTTAAAATTCATAAACCAGAGCACTTCTCTCCTGGCTTTCCCCCAACACAAAGAATTCACTGCCAGTTTAGGAAGCTAAAAGTTTAGTAAATATAAATATCTCAAAGGAAGACATCCTTGTATTTCACAAAGTTCTAAGAATCAACAGCAAACGATAATTGCTGGTTGGAAATGTTCTATAAAATGAGTTAGAGTACAAACGCTGAAATATTACAAGAGAAATACAAAGAACGGATATATCAAAGAAAGCCCATTTTTCTTCTCCTTCCTTCCCTCCCTCCCTCTTTTTCTTTCTTTGTTTTCTTGAGACAAGGTCTATGTAGTGTAGTGTAGGCTGGCCTTGAAGTCACTGTGTAGCTCAGGCTGGCCTCATTTACCATGATCCTCCTGTCTCAGCCTCCTGAGTGCTGGGATTATAAGCACGCACCATCACACTCAGTCAGCCCATTTTGCTAAAGCATAGTTTGTAAGTTTAAAGTCTCAGGAGGAAATTGTTTACAGCCAGCAGTATTCACCCTTCAAGGTCTTCTGATTTATTCCCATGCTTGGCACAATGTGGTAATGCTGGGTCACATGAATGTTGTAGAACAGTTATTATTCTTTATCTGCTCGGGACTAAAATAGGATAAGAGAAGCCAGTTTTGTGGACCTAAAAGTTTTCAAAGCAAAATAAAGCAAAAACAGATTCATGTTCTTCAGAAGCAATCATTTATACACTAAAATGGGAGAAAACAGATGGTTTTGACTCTTGTGTCCCCAAACTGCAAGTAAAAAAAAGCTATGAATGCACCAGTGCTTCTTCATGCTTGCCCTCCAGCTGCCCCCGCTCTTATGCTGCCCTAAGCTGACACGCGCAGCCTCACCCACGGGTGGTCTGCACTGTAGACACTGCCCAGCATTTTCACGCTGGTTTCTCAAGGCAGCTGTGGACAAAATAGCATCACAATATGGTTATTGTTTCGTTTCCTAAAACTTCTTCAGAATGAACACCTGCCAACCTTATAATGCAGGCATTCCAACCCAGGCGGCTCCTTAGTTTCCTGAATTTTAATTATGCAGCTTGACTTTCAGCATCCATGGCAAAGAATGAAGCCTAAGACCAGTTCTGTGATGAACTAACTTAACTGTAATAGTTCTCAGAACAGAAACTAAGAAGACCGATGCACAGCAGGCACCAGCGGGGATGAACGTAGGGCACGTGCGCTGCAGTGCGTGCAGGGCCTTCTCTGCCCGCACCCCGTCGGGTCACCCCAGCCTCACCCCAGCGGGTCACAGCAGCCTCACCCCAGCGGCCAAGCATTCGGGTTTAATTGTCCTGCGGGCGCTCTGCGATGAACAGGTGGGTTCTGGGTTGCAGTTTGGGCGCTGGGTCTCTAAAAGGTTTGCCGTCACTGACACAGATGCTTTTAGAAACTTGCCCCGCTCCCGCTGTTGGCTGCACAGATCTGCATGATGGAGGCTGAGAGAATTCTAGCACTCAACTCCCGGAAGCTGAGGTAGTAAGAGAAAAATCCCGCCTTCCCCTGAGTGGGGCACTGGATTAACCTGGATTTATCTTCAGCATAACCAGAGAAGTAAAATCGAACAGCTTCTGTGCAGAGCCGGCATCCCTTCCCCGGCGTCTCTCCGCCACTTCTCCGCCTCGTAACAGGCTCAGCACAGCTCCCACTTCACTGCCACTGGGGAGGGTTAACAACCACCAGCGTGGTGACAGCATCAAGGGAAAATGAGTCTGCGCTCCACAGAGTGACGTCTGTGGGGCTTGCAGGTATTTGCTGTCACATGACTGGGAGAGGCTGTGAGTCTCAGGAAGATGTGCAGTATCCCGGAGACCAGGGCTTTGGCTCCAGTGCTGGCACCAGCCCTGGATGGCTGCGCTTCCGCTCCTTGGTTAGGAGAGATGGCAGGGGACGAGGGCTGCCTGGGCATCTCTGCCTCTAGAAGCAGGTGTCATCTTGGGAAATAATAATATGAAAAGTACTTGGAAGTTTAAATATTCTGCTTTGGATCAGCCACTTAAAGCCACAATCTGAAGGCTTTAAGTAGCAGGTGTTCAGGAGTCTGCTTAGGACAAGCAGCCCAGGACACAACACAGCAGTACAGCACTGTACGCGGGCAGCTCCACAGGAAGCAGGAGTGAAGTACCAAGCAAAACAGCTGCGGTCGGGGAGCTGGAGCTTTGTTTCTAGGAGCCCTTACAGAACACATTCTGCGATATTAAGCGTATTCTTTTGACGAAGGTTTTGTTATATTTCAAAATAGATTTTATCAGTTCCCACCTTGGGAAATAAACCAAGAATTAGATTATTAAAATGTAAACCTGCATCTAAAAATAATCACTTGATCGGCAGATGGAGACAGGGGAATTGTGAGTTGAGGCAACCTGGGCTACAGAGTTGGTTCAGAGCTGGCCTGGACTACCCAGTGAGACCTTGTCTCCAAACGACAGAGAAACAAAGAACCCCATGTGATTATCAAATGCACGAATAAGTCAGTGCGTGAGCCAACAGTCTGCCTGTCTTCTGTGTGCAGGAGGCTCAGGCATGGGTTTCCTTTCTCCTTCAATGTCAAAACTTCCCAGGAAGCAGGAGCTGTACCAGGAGAGGACAGGATGGTGCCTGATGGCCGTTCCCAAGACTCAACCTCATGACAGACTAGGGGAGGGGTGATTAGATTCTGGGCACCCAAGGCTGAAGCCGTCAAGGGAAGGTCAGCTTGGAACCTCGGTGCTCCTTCAAGTTTTAGTTATCTCAAGGCTTAGCAGGGAAGACCACAAACATGTAATGGAGTTTGCCTAAACCAAGCTGAAGGCTGCTGCAATGGGGAACAGACTCATCCTTCTCCTTTAATACTGTAATTCCCCCTTATCTGGCACACTGTTTTCTACAATTTCAGTTACTTGTGGTCAATCAGGATCCAAAAATATTGAGTACAAAATTTCAGAAGTAAACAATTCATAAGTTTTAAAAAACTTTTATTGTAGCATAGCATCATAATCATTTCATTTTATTATTAGTTACTGTCAATCTTTTGCTGTGCCTACTTTTTTTTTTTGTCTTTCTGAGACAGGGTTTCACTATGCAGTTCAGGCTGGCCTCGAACTCAGTGATCCTCCTGCCTCAGCCTCCTGAGTGCAAATGCTGAGATCACAGGTGTGTGCCACCACACCTGGGCTTGTGCCTGCTTTTACAATTAAACATTAGTATGTATTATAGGAAAAACAGTCCGGATCCGTATGCATTATAGGAAAAGCTATCCGGATTTTCAGGCATTCATGGACTATAGTTGGAGATCTTGGAAGGTAACCCCTATGGGGGTCTTGGAAGGTACCCCCTGCAGATAAAGGGGGACTGCTGCATATTCTATTCAAGCTAAAATGCATAGACAAATAAACTGACTTAACTCCTAGTCAAGAACTGCAGACCCCATGGACCGGCTTTCTACATGAGGTTAGGCTGGCTCTGCCATCTAAGCGGTAACATCAACTTCACTGAGACCAGACCACGAAGTATCCAAGGACTGATTTAAGAAAACTTACACTCCTTACAATAAAATTCCATCAAACCATCTAATCCAACAGTCTTACCTGCTGGTTCGATCTGGCGTCACTGAAACTCATTTTCTTTCCCAGGTCCAGAATCACCGCGTTCTTGGTTTCACGAATGTAATCGTCACTCACTGGTTGGGAAGACTTTGTGTTTTTCTTCATTAGTCCCTGCGACGGCCTGTAAAATAAATTCACACCGACACACTCACTACGCTTTAAGGGCATTGAGCATGGTATAGAGGATCCGTGTTTGTAGGGGCTTTTCAACATTTTAATTATTAAACAAGTATTCATGGTAATCGCGGGTTTCGGTCTGAAGTATTTAATATCCGTTTTGTTGTTAAAAGATACGCGATCTAGGCATCTCCCACCAATAGCCCTGTCCCAGACCGCGCTGTTCTGCGCACACGACCCCGCTCCACTGGCCTGCGTGTGAGCAGGGCTCTCCGCGCAGCCCAGGCTGGGCTCGGACTCGGGGCTCCCCGCAGGGCTGGGGTCCCCCCGCCCCGACTCACCCGGCCGGCGCGCTCCTCGGCAGCCCCATGGCGTTGGTGGGCGGCGTGGCGGGCAGGGCCGGCAGCACCGAG